ACATTAATGTTAGCAAACCATAACAAATCTTGTATATTCCCTTTATTAATTTTTTTTTAATCAATTTCAGTGAATTTTGGCAAAAGATGTTCAATTATGCTGATTCCAAAGAAGAAATATTGCCAACATATCAAATACCTTTTGTCAACAATTGTTATCAACACCTGCCCACTTTGTGTTTTATTATTTGTTGTACTAATTAGTGTATATGACCCTACCTTTTTGGTCTTTAAATTTTATTCAAAATTTCTCACATTATATGAAAGAAAATATGGTAGTAGTCATAAAGAACCTTTTTTTGCCTGCCATAGACATGGCCGATGCTAACCTCCAGGAGAGCAACTCACTGCATCTTCTTGGTCTCCCACGAGGCTAAATGATTATATTGAATCAATTGTTAAGTCTGCTGTTAGAAAAGTTGGTTTACTGTATTGTGCTAGACAATTTTTCTCAAAAGAATATATCTCACACATTTATAATTCTACTATTTGTCCATGTATCAAATATTGCTGCTACATCTGGTATTTCTGCAATGTATCTAGAGATTCTTGACAAAATCCAAAAGAGAATTGTCAGTGTTATAAACCCTGACATGTTGGCTTCAGTCACTTTCCCACTACCGTAACGTAGCTTCCCTTTACCACTTCTATAAATATTTTCACAGTAATTGTTCTGATGAGCTTTTCCCTTTGGTACCTCAACTTCCCAAATTTGAGTGCAGTACTAAATTGGCAGCTAGGTCTCAATTTCACTTGAAACTGCTAGTTGTAACCATAGGTTTTATGCTAATAGTTTCTTCTTTCACTTCTCATTTGCAAAATTTCTGCTTTGTCAGCTACAAGCTTCAAAAACTTGAATGCAATGTCAATCATCATCTTCTGCTTCTTTTAATCCTGTTCTCTATTTCTTCCACTCTCAGTAACCCCTTGCATCTTAGTGGCTTTATTGTCTTGCTTGGAGTGAAAAAAAATGTGAATAATTTCCTTTTATTCAGAGACATTTGTTTTATGAATGGAAAGAAAACAATTCAATTTGGTTGCCCTGAAAGAATAATTATTTTTTTATTTATTTTAAGACTTTTCCTTATCTTGAGGTGAAGTTTTGTTTAAAGAAAAATTTTGTAAGCAGTTTTTTAAAAAACACATCTGGTCTTCCATAGCAAAAAAAAAGTGTTAATTGTAAGGAAAATGTGCCATGTCATTTAAACAGAGAAGAGCCCAAATTTCTTTTACCAAAACAGAAAGTGATGGTCATAATTTCAAAACATTTTGGAAAGCCTAGACAAGATATCCTTGCTCTTTGAGATATTTTGATCTTCCATTGCTTTAATGTCTATTGTTTTAATAGGATGTGTACCCTTGGTAGTATATTTTTTACTGATAGTTTAAATACAACGAAGTCAAGAATAAACATTCACCTCACCAAGTAGTGATTCCGATTTCAAATTCTAACTTTTTGCAATTTTTTTTTTGTTTTTTAACAATAATGTTCACCTTGTACAAGATCCAAGAACCACTCTAGGTAGAGGTTACAGATTAAGAGGCATAGTTTTTAGAGATATGTGGGGAAGATAACAGCTAAATCTATACTTGAACAGATTAAGATTACAGTGATTGGAGAAAACATCATCTTAGGAGTTGGTTCCACAAAACAGTGCTTTGTGGGAAGAAGTGGTTTAAGTGGAACTTACATATTACCAATGAAATACGAAGGGAAGGAGGGGGGTTCACTACAATAGGCGTGGCATGGCAGGTCTTAGTCATGAAGGTTAGAACTGGTGAAACTAAGGAATGCAGTTCATCTAAACATTTTCCATGGAAATAGTGATAGAGCAGCAAGAGGCTTGCAACATTTTGTCTGAAAGAAAAGTGTTGTAGGGTGGAAAATAATTCTCCACCAACAAGGACACTGAGATTTTGGACTATCAAGACTGGAAAAAAGAAGACTGCACTGCTCCTGTCCATATATGACAGCAGTACACTATTTTCAGCCTGATCTGGCTCTTGTAAAGGAATACAATAGCAGAAGGAGTCAGTTTCTTACAGAAGCTGTACAGGGAAATGACCATTTTTTTCAATATTTTTAGTAATGAATAATATGTACAAGTTCCACCAGAGGTGTCGGTTGAGCTTAAGTCCCAAGAGATGTTCAAAACACAGGACCTCCCCGAAAGATCACCTGTTCATCATGAAAGGCGAAAATTCTTCAGGAAGTAAACAAGTTTGCAAAAGTTAACCAAACATTCAATCACAAATACTTCGACAAAACAATCCATCTGACAAAATAAGTAGAGAAGTACCACATTTCAATTTTTCAACAGTTCATTCTACTCCTCCTCTTGAATAGGAATTGGTATAAACACCTGAGACAGACATCTTAGAAGACATTTCCAGCAAAATAACTTTACAGAGGAATTGTGCATCATATTCATAAATTATATTGGCATTCACAGAAATCACAAGTGCTTTCCTATTTTATCTAAAAAGCATATCAGACAATTAACAGTCACAAAAGTAAGCCATAATACCACTAATAGTAGCATCTTATAGTAGCAGAAGATGGTACAATTGGTAGTTCCCATTCCTGTATAGGCTGTGTCTGGTTTAAAATGGTGAAGTAACCTTGTAACAACCAAGTGGAGGTATTTATTCAGGATTTGTTTATTAGCAAAAGGAAAAAAAACTGTTTACAAATCTACTAAAGTGCCAGTCTATCAAACTTCCAAATGTAAACATTGGAATAGAAGTTTTCTTGAAACAAGTACAGATTCAGTATATATATATATATATATATATATATATATATATATATATATAAACACCAAGAAATCCACACCAATAATTTTCCTGTTTTTCTCACATATATATTTAGGAAATGGATTAAATCTGACATTATTATTTTTAATTTATTCTGTTTAAATGTTATTATTGATGGATACTCATATTCGAGTCGAAGCTGTATTTTAATTAAACACCATTTTTTTTTTTTTTTACCCAACACACATTTTTCTGACAAAACTTCTTAAATATTTAGGCTGGTAGATGTAGTTGGATAAAAAACACCATTTTATTAGAAAAAAAAAGAGCTTCTACTCAAATATGAGTATCCATCAATAATAACATTTAAACAGAATAAATTAAAATAATATATATATATATATATATATATATATATATATATATATATATAAATAAAAGAAAGCTGATGAAATAAATTAGAGATAAAAAAATAATATTAATAATAAAACTAATAACAATTATTATATATTAGTCGGCCTTTTGACCAAATGGAGACATGAGAAAGATTGGAATTTTGGGACACACCTGTGTACTTTCTAAATGATAAATAAAAAAAAAAAATAAAGTAGAACTGGGGAGAGGGGCCCACATGTGTTTAAATTACTGATGCAAGATTGTTGGTTTTGGGCTAGTTGTTAGCCACAAATAGGATTGTAGAGGGTTTATAATAGGTTTTTTGTGGAAAGTGTATTCATTTTCTTTCCACAAAAAGCCTACTACAAACACTCTATAGTCCTAATCATGGCAAACAACTAGGCCAAATCTACTAGATCTCATCAGCAATATAACATAGTTGAGGATAAAAATCCGCCCTCCCCTCAAAGTCTAACTTCACTCTTTTTGTCATTGAGATAGAAAACAGGCATGTCCAAAAATTTTGATTTTTAAAATGTTTTCTCCTTATGCATCCAGTTGGTCAAAAGGTCTAATATACAATAAATATTATTTTTGCTTTTTATCTCAAATTTCTTTTATTGGCCAAATATATCTACATATAAGAAGCATATGTGGACAATCTTTTTTACTGTCTCACACACACATTATATATATATATATATATATATATATATATATATATATATGGTCACTTTCTCACAGACGTGCCGTTGCCTCCCTCTGTTCTACAAATACTTTCATGGAAATTGCTCCGAGGAGCTGCATTCGCTGGTTCTCAGGCGTCATGAGTTCCAGTGCCCTCTGAGGCTGGCATCCCGCTCTCACCCCTTCACTGTCGAAAACTCCTAAATGTAGCCGTCTCTTCTACTCTAATAGCTTCATGTCTCAAGACCTCTCGCCTGGGGAACTCCCTTCCCTTCTCCTGTTTCCTGTGAGCTATAATCTCCAGCTATTCAAGTGTAATGTCAATCGACATCTCCAGTTGCCTTAATCTATCCACTACCCCCATCCTTTCTTCTATCACTCCTATCTGATCTTGCTATTTTCTGTAACCCCTTGTGTCCTAGTGGCTTCCCCGCCTTGCTTGGGGTGAAATGCTTAAAAAAAAAAAAAAAAAAAAAATTATATATATATATATATATATATATATATATATGAGAAGGTACGGTGGAGCAATGGATAGAGGAATTGGAGAGTCAAGTTCGAATTCCAGTCAGATCCATTACATTCACTTATGTGCTAATACCCTTGGGAACGATATGAATCCTCTTCTTCTCCCCACCAGCTGTGGGTAAATAGCAAGACAGACTGGGTTCTATAGCCTTGAATGGCAACTGGTCTAGGAGGAGGACACCTGAATTCAAAATTTGTGGAGGATCATTTGGGCATGCTGTACACCAGGTCTCTGTATTCAATCCTTCAAAAAGGATGGTTGGTTCTGCACAAAACCTTCATCACTATAATCAAATCATATGTGCAGGTGTCTGGCTGACGGTTCCTAGGAACCAAGTTGCTTGACCCTCATACATCAAGAAACAACAAAGTCCAGTGTGCGTGTGTGTGTGTGTAAGGACAAAGGAATCAACAGTCACTATGCAGTGATCTTCAAATTCAAACCTTTCTATATGTATAAAGTGCTCTATCTTAGATATTATACACTAAGACACACATACATTATATATATGCACACGCAAACTACATTTTTGACAGTATTTTAAAGCGTAGAAAAAAGTACAGAAATCATGTTGAAGTTATTTACTAAATATAAAGCTTTGAAATTAAAAAGTGTACAAGCTAAAAACTTACATTAAAGCACCATCAGTAATACTCTGACAGCCCCTCAAACTCAAGGACTTCAAAAACCCACCACATCGTTTGGAAATGTGTTCAACTACTGGACCCTGCAGAAAAGAGAAAAAGGTTTATTAGCAACAATAAAGTTTTTTTGAGCATGCATGTGTGTGTGTGTTATATATATATATATATATATATATATATATATATATATAATATATATATATAATATATAGTATATTTATAACTTATAGACAACAAAATTTTATAAATTAAAAACAATATATATTGGCTTTTGGCTCAGAAATGAATGATAATTATGCCCATAGGGCACCAGAATTGATATCTTAGACATTAATGGTAGAAATCCACTTTTCTAGTTGTACTTTATTTTAATTACTGATTGACTCAAGGTAACTGACAGGAAAGAAAAGAACTATATATTACATACACACACACACACACACACATGAATGAGCATTATTTTTTTTTTGGTTTGGTTTATGGCATATTAACCTCAATGGGTTATTTAATGCTGTTAAGATTTTTAATGCTAGTAATATTTTTTCACAAAAATGTATTGCTGGTATTAAAACCTATTTTTGCACTTTCATAGTGTTTTGACCCCAGTTTGGGCGGGGGTAACTATTTTTCCATAGCTGGGACACTAACAGGTGCTACCACTCTGGGTCAGAGTGAACCTGGGAACACCAACAATTAAAGGGTGGCTTTATGCTCCTCAAAACCTCCTGATCAGAGGCTTTGCTGTCAGATGTAGTTTGTCATCTTACTCAGGTTGCGTTTGTTTTTGTCAACTGCACAGTATAATTGAGTCAGTTGGGCACCGTCTGAGAAAAAGAGCACCATGACACAATTTACTCTGCCAGAAATTTGGAAACAGCATGCTGTACTGTTTGGCATTCTTTCTGGTAGCTCCAATATGAACATTTCAGAGTGTTTGGTTGAGGACAGTGCAGATGATTCAGAAAGAGTTGGATCAGTCTAATGGTAATTATGAAGGTGTTTGGAATGATCACTAGTGATGGTGATATTATGCCTTCATTCATCTTCCCACAGGGCTTCAGACTCAACACAGAGGCCTACATCAAGTACCTTGAGGTCAAGAGGGTGGCTGCTGGAAGACCCTATGTCTGGCAACAGGACTCTGCACCCTGCCATGCAGGCAGGAGAATCAGTCATGGCATTCAAACAATTTCTGTGACTACATCATCCATTACACTTGGCCACCTAACTCCCCAGACTGCAACCACCTTGCTTAGGGAACAGTTGAGTTAAAGACCAACAAAATTGCTTGTAACACCAAAGATGAACTGAAGGCAAGGATTATGGCATCATTTACCAACTTGAACAAGAAAACCATCAAGAGATGCAAGAGATTCTGAATTTGTCTGGAGGCCATGGTTGAAGCCAATGGGGATTTTATTGAATAAATTTATTCTTTAGTATTTCAAGATATTTTTGTGTAATTTTGGTTAATATATGTTAAAATGAGATGTCAGTGTTATTTTCATTTTTGCATAATTTATCCATTGCACCCAGTATACACAAGGATTGTGATTAATTGTTTTGGACTGAAGCAATAAGAGATTAAAAAGAATTTTATATATTTATTTATTTATATATATATATATATATATATATATATATATATATATATATATGTGTGTGTGTGATAGCAAAATTAAGATTTGGCAAATTGATCGATTTCACATTCAAATTGCAAAAACAAAAAGATAAAAGAAAAACTAGTATATATTCACTTTCAGCCTTTAAGAGTAAATAAATTGTAATTTCTTTCATGCCTCTTCAAGAAAATTTCCAAGTGAATGAAAATAAACATTAAAAGAAAGAAAAAAAGAATTGTACAACTTTCAGGCAAATTTTTCCTCAGGATGAAAGATTTTTTTTCTTTATTAAATTGCCAAACAGCTTTAGTCACAATTTATTCAAATTGAAATATGAACTTCCTGTGAAAAATCATCAATCAGTAATGACTGGCATTTAAGAGATGGAAAATTCATTTACCACAAAGAGATTACCACTTTCCAGTCAATTCAACAGTTGTTGTATAAATGTTAAAACATTTTTTCTTTTTTTATTCATAAAACTAGTAATAAAATTTAGAATGATGTAGCAAGCTAAAAATAAAGTTTTAAATATTCCCATCTCTTCATTTTTCCCCAGTAAATTTAATACGACTCTTAATTATTCTAAACTAGTTTCTGCATACTGTCATAAATGGCAGCATATTTAAGTCCTTACTATTATTAGTGGCTTTCATATGCAAGACTTTAAATATATTTTCATCAATTATTATCATTGTATTCTGCTCTTTCATAGAGTTGGTCTTTTTTACCTCCCAGCTTCAGAAGCATCTTCAGTCATTGTCATAAAGACAATGCCTTCTGATATTACTACAGGAATCCTTCCAACTATTGGCCTCTTTTTGGCAAAGTATTAGAAGCCCTAATCAATTCTAAATTGGTTAAGCACCTTACATCATTGGGTCTTCTTTCAGCTAAGCAATATGGCTTTTGCCTCTCTATGTCAACTGTTGATGCAATAATGATTATTGATGAAAGAGTCTATCAAGCTTTAGAAAAAAATGATAAAGCTTGGGCTGTTGCTTTGGACAACTCTAAAGTATTTGACACGATTTTGCATACCAGTTATTTCTGGTTTGCTTTGTTTTATGGTATATCAACCTCAATGGGTTATTTAATGCTAACAATATTTTTATTGCTGGTAATATTTTTTCCAAAAATGTACTGATGGTATTAAAACCTATTTTTACACATTCCTACTGTTTTGACCCCTGTTTGGGGGTTAACTATTTACCCATATTTGGGATCCTAACAGGTGTTACCACTCCAAGTCAGGGTGAACCTGGGAACACCAGCAATTAAGAGGTGGTTCCATGCTTCTCAAAAACTCCTGATCAGAGGCCTTGCTGTTGGACGTAGTTTATCGTCTTACCCAGGATACAGTCATTTCTGTATGAATTTTTGAACTGATTCAATCTTTCTTATCAAATTGTGAAATCTAAGTTATCTTCGAATGGCAACACATCTAGATCTTTTACATAAATGCAGGTGTCCCCCAGGCCTCTATCCTTGGATATATGTTGTCTGTAATTTTCATTAATGACCTCTCTGATAGCATCAGTTTACAGCTCTGTATTTATGCTGACAACAACTATTTACTCTTGTCTTAATAGTAAGTCTGATTAATTTGATAAGGTCAAATTGGCAGCAGAAACTTTTTTTTCATTAATTTTTTTTTTTTTTTAATAATTTAGGTATACAATATATTTTTTCAACCTGTCCCAAGGTGTTAAAATGATTGAGAAATTACTGTATATATAATTTTAGTTTTAAATATTGTTAGCTAATTTGTTTGTTATTAGGTAATATTAGGAGCATTTAGTTGAAACTAACTTCATTCAGAAAGATATTTATATAGGTGGTGACAACTTTATTGGTATGTACTTTTTAATTTTGTCAAAACTGATATTTTTATTACCAATTCTAACATTAAAAGATAGAATAAAAAAAATAAGCAATATTAGACATTCTGCTTTTTCATTTTAAGGAAAATAAAACTCAAAAGCAAAAATAAAAAAAAAAGTGATTTGTGTAATTTATTTGGTTTGTTTTATTTTACGGTATATCAACCTCAATGGGTTATTTAATGCCCAAAAAAATTTTATTGCTGGTAATTTTTTTTTTTTTTTTATCAAATGTATTGCTGGTAAAAATTTTTCCCTTCAAAAATCTATTTCTGGTAATATTTTTTCTTCAATTTTTTTTTTTTTTTTTTAAAAAAGTATAGCTGGTAATAATTTTTTTTCTTCAAAAACTTATTGCTGGTAATAACTTTTTTTTTTACAAAGTATTGTCATATCCAGGACAGGTAATTTATGGAGAAGGTAAAAATAATGAGAAAATGTCAAAAATTGCAAAGTTTTTGTGCTGGAGATTTCTTGATAATACGACATGAACATGCAGATAAGTTGAGGCTGATAGCAAGCAAATGAAAACAAGTTGTGAAATATCAGTGTTGTATAATCCAGCCAAAATTCTCAAAATAACCAAATGAAGCACTGAAAATATTTGTACCAAATTGGTTAGTCACTTTTATGTGTGGCTTCCACATAGATATATAAAAAAAACAAAAAAAAAAAAAACAAACACAAAACAATGAATTTCTGTATACAATTTGCTGCTTAAATGTAATTAAAGCCCCATTTTCTAAAATTGTTGCAGGCAATAAAAAGTGGATACTTTACAATAATATAGGTTGCCAGAGATTGTGGAGCAAGTGAAATGAACCACCAAAAGCTGTATCAAAGGCCAGTCTTCATATAGGTATATGGTGAGACTAAAAGGAATTCATTGCTACTGAAATCCAAATGATCGATTCAAATCAGGAACTCCAAATAATTAGACCAAATGATAAAAAGCATTCAGAATTAAGAAAAAGGGTTTTAATATTCTGTCAGGATAACGCTAAACTGTTTCTTTAGTAACTAGACAGAAATCATTATAGTTTGACTTGGAAGTTTTCACTAATCTACCACATTCACCATGTATTGTGTCCTTGGATTATTTATTCCAGTCACATCAGAATTGTCTTAAAAATTTTTTTGCTGAGAAAAATAACTTCAATAGACTTATGAAGTTACCTGAAAGATGGCAAAAGATGGAACCAGATGCTAAACATGTTGTTTACTAAAGTTAATGTGGAAAATGAATTTTTCTTATTTTCCACCCAATAAACTAAAATAACTGTTCATATCCAATATCATATCATATCCCAATAACTTCCCTTAATAAACTTAATTCAGATTTTGCATATCATTTTTTTTTATAAAAATGACACATTTAACTTGACTTTAAAACAATTTTGAAAGATTGACATGAACCATACCACAAAAGCATTGAATATTCCAGTTCATTTTTATTTTTTGTTCAAAGAAACAAATCAAGTGAAAAAAAAAAAAAAAAAAATTAACAGAGAGGAACTATTTTGGGCCAAATAAACTATCATCATTGATAACTTCCTCCATCTGTGGTAGATTGTGCACTAACAGGAGATATTTGCCGTTACAACTGGCCATCTTGGACGGCTGTGTTGAATGATTTTTAAGTCAAGGTTTGTCTATTCATGCACATTATGTCAGTTTAGGCTGGGGGCTTCTAATCTATCTTTTGCTTACCATCCTTTCAAAGCAAATTTAACTCATGTTTATTCAGATAACATTGCCATGACCTATCATTTATTCAGATTGTCATTAATACAGTATTTTGGTGCAATACAAAAAAAAACAATGTGATTGATGCAAACACGTTATCTTTAAGAAACAATTTTCCTGAATCTACTAACAAAGGCAATCCGTTTCTTGATATACAACTGGCAAGTATTTCCTTACTGAGATGCAACACCTGTCAGCTACCCAAGAAGAAAAATGCATTTCTGTAAATGCAGGGGTGGAGAACATCAGAATCAAATGTGTGATTCATCAAAGTGAAAATAATATGCACTATAGTAGTCCCCAGTAGTAGTTTTTTTTTTACGCTTCCATTGCTGTGGATATATTTGTACACCTTCACAAAACTTACATTGCTTTCTGTTGACACACACACACACACACACACACACACACATATATAAAATGTAAAAACACACGTTTTCAAGAGGTACTTGTATATCTATGAAACTTACATTGCCTGCTGTTGTCATAAGTTTTCAAGACACCATGAAATGTCAGACCAAAGCATTTGTGTTACAAACTAGTACTTAGTGCTCTTTCCAAACCATCATAGATATATAGTAGATTACAATATGACCAGTTTTGTGACATTACAGTGAGTGTTGGTGAAGGGAGGTGTCATTTAACTTAATGCACAACCACAATGACAATGCCCGTGAGAAAATGCCATCAGTAATAGTCATTTAATTCCAGTAAGTGATAATTTCTTATCACATAATGGGCCAGCACAGCCAGACAACAATGCAGCTGTGAAAGTGTTCATATGGCGTTTAGCTTGATGCCAGGACCAATTCTCTTACAAGACAACCAGTTACCCGAGTGGTTGTCTACAAGGAAAATTTATATGGTTAATATATAGTGATAAGGGTTGATCATACAATTCAAAAGGACTGTGACACCACATTGACTGGGAACATCTACAGAAAGTGAGAAAAGTATGAAGAATTGCAAGAGGGATTTACAAGACCTGGGTGAACAGCTTGTCTATTTCCTGTCAAAATCAAATACTGAATTTTTATTTTTAATTCAACATTGATATATTAAAAGAAATAATAAAATATAACAAGAGACTCCAAGATTGAATTTGGTGAACTCCACACTGGAACAAAAAACTAACAATGCCTGGTGGAACCTCAAGGTACTGCTGGGACACACTGGTTTAGTTGTAATGCTTTAGCTTCAAAATGATGCCTGACCCCAGGGATCATCAACTGACAGGGGTTTTTTGGGGTTTTTTTTTTTAGAGGCACTGCTACTTTTTCACAACAGTATTTGCATAAATATATCATGTAAAATCAAGATATACAAGTTTCTATAAACCTGAACAATGTTGAATAATTGGTTGATAAAATGGGAAAACATTCAGTGTAACATGCTTCATCTTCTAATAGGACTTCACAATAAAATATTCTTACTTTGTGTGTGTGTGTGTGTGTGTGTGTGTGTGTGTGTGTGTACTGAAGATGTAGGAATGCTATATTTTAAATTTTTTAGCATCTGATACATCTAGACAAACAGCACAGCCAATCTCCTTTGATTTCCCAATGCTTTTATTTTTGTTTCTGCTATTTTTAAATACCCCACACTAAGACAATAGCTTAAGAAATCATATTGAGAGAATCAGAAATCAGTGCACTCTCTATACATTTTCACCCGAGTAAGTTATTCTTTTAAATTCAAAGAAGCATTTTTTTAAATTGACATTATTATTAAATTATCCAATGTGTAGAATAAAAAGCTAAATAGACAATGCTAAATTAAATTCTAATTTTATATTGTTTAAAATCTTTTTTTTTTTAATATTTTGAAATTTCTCAATGAAAGAGAAAATGTGGACAGAAATACAGAGTAAAAAGTTAATTAATATCTAACCCATGATTTCTCCAAGATTCTCACTTTGATATGAAAGTGGGACTTAACCCTAACCCAGTGATCCAAAGAGTTATACCAGTGAGAGTACAACTCCAAGAAGGACCAACCAAGCCAGGCAGGTCAGAAGGTAGCAATCAAACTAAATGAGAATCACAAGAAGCTATAGAATGCTGCATAGCGTTTGTGATGATTCAACAAAGGAATCAATTTCAATTTACAGCCAATGATAAATTCGACACGATGCTGGAAATACCAACATTTCTAGAACCAAATTTGCCACCAAAAGATTTGGTAAAGCTTACTGACTTTAGCAATACCAAGACATTAAACCAGCATAGAGAATTTTCTTTGAAAAACCATCTCATGGATATAACAGCATTGGATACCCTTCAAGATAACTATTATTAAGCAACATGTTTACCATCTGGCTACATCATCTGCCTTATTTCAGGCAACTTCATAAGTCTATTCCTTGCCTACTGAACTTATTTTTCTCAGCAAAGAACTGCTTTAGGTGCGTTTTGCAGTCTTCTGTGAAAATGAAATTTTCATTGAGGATTCTTTTACGACTGGAATGAGTGATGGCAGATCAGTGAAAATGTTCTAACCAAACAAGGACAATTATTATCTGATTGACAAAGAAACCATCTTATCTCGATCAAATATAAAAACCCTTTCTCTTAACCAATTCTGAATCCTTTTTGTTAGTTGGTCTAATTGGTGAGTGTGTTTGATTTGAATAAATTATTTCTCCAGAAGAAACTCATAAAGGAATTCCTTTTAGTCTCACCATGACAACAGAAAGACTTGAAATTCCTTGGACGTATGAGGAAGAACTTCAAGACCTTGACCCTCATGGGGCATATTGAAGGCAAGAGAGATGAGGGAAAGCAGCGAATCCCTTATCTGATGAGTTTGTGCGAATGGATGGTGGAAAGGGGGCCAGGGAATGATTAGCAAAGAGAGGAAAACTGCTAAGAGCCATACAAGATAGGAAGTTGTGGAGAGTCATAATCACCTATCTCTTGGAGGAACATGGCACACACAACATTACTTTCTTTGGATGAAGACTGGTTTTTGGTATAGTAATTGACCAACTAACTCAAGATGATAGAAGCAATATGAGTTAGTTGGTAATTCATATTGCATCTATCATCTGCAATGGATGACGAAAGAATATTATCTTCAAGTAAAGCAAATGCACACCTGCTTATAATAAGGTAAGTCAAACAATGATGCAAGTGCACTTTTATTTATTTTCTTTATACATTTACCATGCATTATTCAAGGAGACTATTCACAAGAAATAAATTCATAAATTTATGAAACAATAAGAGCTGAACTTTAAATTTAAGCAAGCAGCTTCAGTTATTCAAAAATTAACGTCAAATTTAACAAAGAGGAAGGCTCAAAAAATATCTCAGATTAATGTGGGAGTTGTATAACAAATCTTTTGAGGTAGGAAATAAAAAAAATTTTTTTTAAAAATAACTTAAAATCTTTCACCGCAAACAACATCCAATGTTAATATCAAGCAGTCATTATTTAGAAATTAACAATTATTTTAGTCAGATTTTTTTCAATTTCCTACGAGGAAACAGCACAGTAAACTTTGATTAAGCCATAAGTAATTTCCATTTTGAGGAACCAATTATAACGACAAATGTATTGTCCCAATTACTAATTGTACAGAAATTCATGATTTCAGCCAAATGTAATTCGTCTGATAGAACTAAATAAAAATAACTGTACATATTTTCAGAGGTTCGCAATGACTAGTTTCCAACGAAATATTTGCCATGCATAGCTAGAAACCTAAACATGTAACAAGTAGTTGCTTAAAAAGCAAATATAATAAATGCGGTGGTACAACAACAATATAGTAGCACAAAAACATTTCCCTCTGTTTATTTCAGCTGGCAACAGCACAACAAACTAATCCGAGCACAAGACACTGGGCAAATACCTTGAATTCTGTTTATCCCCCCCCCTTTGTAATGGAAAGAAAGAGCAAAAAAAAAAAAAAAGATAGGAAATCCTCTTATAGCAAAACAAGTAACCTAGTAGATAGCAATGCGCTTGCTAGCACAAAGTTTTAATAACATCAATTATGTTAGCATTTTAAAACTGCTGCTGCTGCTGCTGTAGACACTTACCTCGATAGCCAACTGGAAGTCAAAGAGATCTACTCTCTGCCAGTTACTTCCATCAAGTGCAAGAACATTCCAATACTGAAATTAGAAGAAAAAAAAAAAGTCATTTTAGTCACAAGTCTCAGAATTAAACCATCTCTGAATATACTGAAGAATTCGTCTCCACCATGTTCTCTAGTGATCTTTGAAAACTAACATCAAAGATTCTCCCAAACATTTTTGCATATATTTAATACTTTTATCAGTTGTGTCTGCAGAATTTGCTCAAGGGTTGTTTTGTTTTTTTTTTTCATCACATTTCCTTTTCAAAAATTCAAAAAAGCAGAGACATGTAGGAATCTTCAAAATTGTCAAAAAGGGTTGTTGATGAATTTTAAAATATTAAACCATAAAAATAAAATTACTAATGAATGGTCATTGATGTGAGTCAACTGAAAAGGTGGTTGCTAAACAGGAATTATACCACCAGTTTCTTTTGATAGTTAATTTCAACAGACATTTACTTTTTCAAGCTATATTTAAGTTTTGTAGCTTTTAAATGTTACAATTCTTAAGTAAAAAAAAAAAAAAAAAAAAAAACCCAAAGAAAAACGTAAAATAATTTCATGTCTGACATTAGTTTTGGAAAAAGGAGTAATGATTTAAGTAACTGAAACAACTGGAGTGTAAAAAAAAAAATAAAAAATGAAAAACTTGAGTGCCAGCTTTAGAGAAAGGATGAGTGAATGAATTTAACATTTTCTAATTTAGAGAAAATGTCCCTCTGAATTTCTCCACTTCTATAGCCTTATGCCAGACAAAGCTTTGAAAAAAAAAAAAAAAAAAAAAAAAAAAAAATCAAAGCAGTGCTAATTGAAAATTGCAAAATAGATTTTACAATCAAGATAAACCACAGTTGAGAAAATGGTAGATTATCAGAGAATTGTAAATAAATTTGAGGAATCATAAAATGAATGAAATTGTTCACTTCAAAAGATCTTCATTCACTCTCATTTTAAGCCTTACGTGCTATTAAAAAAAAAAGTGGGGGTGACAGTAGTATTGGTTCATGACTTTGCAGGCATAGTAATTGTAAGTTCAATCTTTGGGCCAGGTCGTAGTCTCAGAGTCAGTGAAAACAGGATTAGCAATAACCGAGCAATATTAAAAATAAGAATGAGACAAAATATCTTAAGATAGGGACAGCAGAACAAGAACAATCTACTTTCAGAGATAAAAAGTTCAGTTTAAAATTCCCTGAAGTTTACTTGGATTCATGAAGAAGGCCAAGGTGGGGGGCATAACAGTTGAAATGTGTTAATTGTGGTAGATTTTGTTATGTAATATCACTTCTATATGGCAGTGAATGCTAGACAATCTCCTCTGATGAAGAAGAGACTTGAGGGTTCAAGGAAATGTGGTTCTACTGAAAGATACTGAGATTACCATAGACTAAAATGTGAATAACAAAGATTTAAGGAAAATAGAAACAAAAAGGACAATTGGAACTTCTAGGAGACATAATGAAGAAAATAAGACTTGGAGAATTTGACACTCACAAGACATTGAAGGCAAGATGGGTAGAGGAAATCAGCAAAATAGCCTAGCTAACAAGCTTTTGTAAATGGTTGGCAGAACAGGGACTAGAAGGGATGGCAAATTGACAAACCTTATTAAGACCTACAAAGGACCAGATGTTGTGGAGAGCTATGTTCATCCACATCATCAAGGGATGCAGCATATAGAAGAAAAATTTTTATTGTAGTCTCTCACACTTAACCAGAACAAATTGGCCAACCACCAGTTTAAGTACGTTTTATAAATATCACAAGGTTATCAAAGACAGAAGTGTCGCAGGCATAGAGAATTCATGTGCAACGTTCTTTTTGCAGAGGAATCAACTGTCTGCTTCAAGTGTCAACAATGTATCGGCAGTCTGACAAGAACAAGCCGAGATGCACATTTTGATCAATAGCAAAACATTTTTTTTTTCTGTAACCCACTAACATGAATAGTACTGATGGCTTTGGAATGAGCCACTTCTTCCTCAGCAAATAAGTAAATCCTGCAACAGCAGCAGCATAGTGTTTCATGTCAAGGTGAACCAAGTGAAACTGTTGGGGGCTAATAACTGAAGAAGCAATCATCAAAGAAATAACCAAAGAAACTCTAAAAACTAAGAATGGAAATAACCGCATTGGTTTATAGCAATCAAGAACATAAAATTTTTTTTATTTTTTTTTATTTTGATAACATCTACCATTTGATTTGGCATTCTTCATACTGTTCACTTACATATACACATTATATCTACATAAGCAATGTGGACACTGGGTTCAATACCTAATCACAACAGTCTGTTTCATGCCATAGCCTGGAGATTGCATTCAAGCATGAAACAAACTGTCACTATTTTGTGTTGAACTGTGTCTATTCTATTTCTGATATTGAGCACTTTTACCCTATCAATATAGCATACCTTTTAAATTGTATTCTATCATTATATACATCATGTATATTTAGGCAGCAAGTGTTCATTCAATCCAAATAAGGTCGGTCTGTTTAATTCATTACTGTATTTTTTAAAAAATTTTTAAATAAGGTGTTGAGTATTGTGCTCAAAATTGTGGATAAAATGTCCAAAGTTAGATTGGGTTATTGCTTTGTTCAAGTATTTTCAAGAACCAATATGGTAGCTGTGGGATAGTTAGAATTGGTTCTTGGTATTCTTTTGAAAGCTGAAGGTTTTGAATAGTCTATGGTGACATTATGAATAATGTTTTGGGGGAATGATGTCACACTAAAAAGAATGATCTTATTTTGTTTTTATTTATTACTTACATACAGATGTACAAGCACAAAGAAAAATGAACATCAATAAAAAAAAGCACATAAATAATTTTAACTTAATACAAAAATAACATAAATGAGAAAATTGCTGATACCTCCTGACAAGTGAACCTAACAATTAGACAATCTGAATCTTGTTCATCCACAAAAATCAGGAGTAAAGGTGCTGAATATAATACCAATCAGCTAAGCAACAAATTTTATATATATATATATATATATATATATAGGTTCACTCTGCCAGAAATTTGGAAATGGCATGCTGCACTGCTTGCCATTCAAACCGGAAGCTCCAATAAGGACATTTCAGAGGGCTTGGTTGTCAATCTGAGGACAGTGCAGAGGATTCTGAAAGAGTTAGACGAGTCTGCTGGTGATTACAAATGTACAGCAGCTTTGAAAATTCATCCTGATCATTTTGATAAAAAAAGATCTTCCAAACTTGTTGAGGGCTTCAGACTCAATACAGAGGGCTATATCAAGTGCCCTGAGGAGGTAGTGCTGCCCTGGGTCAAGAAGGTGGCTGCTGCACCATGCCACACATGCAGGAGAAACCAGTCACAACTGTCAGAGAATTCCTGCAACCACATCACTCCTTACTTCTGGCCACCTAACTCCCCAGACTACATCCACCTTGATTATTGGGGGGGGGGGTGCACAATTGAACGAGAGACAACAAAACGCCTTGTAACACCAATTTAAACAAGGAGACAGTCTAGAAGATTTGCAAGAGATTCCAAAGTCATCTGGCAGCCATGGTTTAACCCAATGCTGATTTTATTGAATAAATTTACTCTTTAGTATTTCAAGATCATTTTGTAATTTTGGTAAATATATCTGTTAAAATGAGATTTCAATGTTATTTTCATTTTTGCATAATTTAGACTACAATTAATCCAATTAATCCATGTGCACCATGTGTGTATATATATATATATATATATATATATATATATATATATATATATATATATATATATATAAAATTTTGTCTTGTTAATGTAGACCTGATTGAAACAAAATTCATTTTTTTTAAGCTGTTGAGTGATCTGCAAAACATGTAATGTTTTTTTAAAAATTGTCTCATTTTCCATACCATTCTAGACACAAACAAAATATCTCTTAAATACAGTGTGGCACAGATAAACCCAGAAAAAATGGATAGGTAACAAAAACAGTATCTTTTATATAACAAATTAATATATCTTAATGAAACTTTATAAAAATTTAGGCACTATATAAGGTACAAAATCACTTGATATGGCCACCATCGGCAGCCACCACTTTCTCCAGGTGGTACCAGAAGCTGGAGCAGGCCTTAGCATCCCTGTCCATGTTGACTATGGTGTTCCTAATGGCTGCCTCAAGAGCTCCTTGGTGTTGTTGGGCCTGCTGTCCACCTCCCTCTCCAAGACGTGCCACACAAAATAGTCAAGAGGTTTGCTTTCCGACAATTTCAGGAGTGGGTAATAAGTCAGGCGACCAATGGTATAGTGAGCAAGTGGCATCTTTTGAGAACATAAGATTTATAATTCAAGTCCTCCTTGACAATATATTCAATTGTTCACCTGCTTGTGCCCATTCCCAGGTGATTTTCCTCATGCTTTTGCTGGGGGTTCTCCTTGGCAACTTTGGCAACAAACTTGGGCATCCTGGTGGCACCAGATCACTTCTTATGAAGTCTTGCATTCTGGCTTGAAATTGTCCTTGTCACCCGAGACAGCATATACTTTTGCAAGATCATAGATCATGGTTTTAGGTTATTTAAACCATTCAATGATTTCCTTGCCATTGTCACTAGCATGGAGGTTCTCCAAAACAGCAGCTTCACAATTGTATTTTAAAAGCACCTCACATGTCAATGTCCAGACAGCTACATAGTACATTCTAATCATGCTCACTTAAAAGCGTGATACACTATGACATCACAGCACCGTTTCCACAAAAATACCAGATTTTTCTGCACCACACGGTATATTATAAATATACTGTAAGCAATGAAAAGTTACTTGTAAGAAAACAGCTTATTAGAATCAATCAGTATCTATCCTCCTAATCTTCAAAACCTACCACCCCCTATTCAGTAACCCTCTACCTTGAGTAGCTCTCGGGCCTTGTATTAGGTGAACTTTACTATTAAGAAAGAGGGGAAAAAAGATCACCAATCATTCTCTAAAACTATTTACAATATATAAAATAATGAACCAAAATGTACAAGTTAATTATGACCTTGGGAGGGGGTCACATTG